TTTGTAAAATAACTGTTTGAGGTCCATCTGGTGAAGGTCCATCTGGTGAAGGGAGTGTAGATGGAGGGGACAAGAGCGATTAGTGCACGTCCGCCGGATAGAGTGGGGGAGTAAGATTTTTGTAAAATAACTATTTGAAGGGACGAGAATTCAGAATGGAGCATATTATTTTTGCAATAATTTTGCGTAGCGAATTTTGTCCACGGTCCACGGTTTAATTTTTTAAGATGGTTGGTGATGGTTCAACAATTTTCGAAGTCAAGTTCATCATGAAGGCGATTTTTCTACTATTTCGATATTTTATTTTTATTTTGTTTGCATTTCATGTCCTGTGTAGGGAGTGCGATAGGAGTCATGGACCATCGGCGCGATTATGCATGTCCCATTCACCCTTGTGCAAGCGGATTCTATGGTTCGGGAGGCGATACCGAAAACGACCCGTGGATGACCGTCGTCCCCTTCTTTGACAAGCCTATTGATGCGTGGTCCGAGGCAGAATGGGATAGAGCCATCTTGGCAAGGAAATGCCCATGGCATAAGGACTACAAATTTGCTTCCGCGATGGAGTGGGGAAGTCTGATCAAAGTACCTCATTATGTCATTGGTGTCAGGCAACTTCCGTCCCTGCGCGCCGCGCTCAGGCAGGAAGAGAATAACAGGTTTTACCTTCGCCTGGACAACGTAACGAGGTCACCTCGGGTGTGGTCTGCAGACTTGAAACAAGAGTTGTTGGACTGTGCATCCTGCAATCCGTTTTTGGAAGTATATCCGCTGCGTGGTGCCGGGTTATAGCCAAAAAATGTGTCATATTGTTGCATACGGTTGTCTGTGGCCGGTTCCGACTTCTGCAGAGTGTTGTGTGTGGCATGTTCAAACCGAAAGTGGACTTTGGTAGACGTTGTAGTGCTAGTTTCTTGCAACCACCTGAGAGTCTATGGTCGCATCATGGGGAATTTACGCCTTCTGTACGAGAACGGACAATCCGATTTGAAGATTGTCATTCAAATTGATGAGGTTCATAAGAGGCATGAGGAAGAGCAAGTGACATGTTGTGTGCGTGACGCCATCGGTAAGTCTTTGGCGTGTGCCTGTAGGTTTGTAAGGATGAAGTACATTTCGGTGTTCTCGGGGGTGGTGACGAAGGGACAGCTACAAACCCTTGTTTTCGGGTCGCCTATGAATGCCTTATACGGGTTTGGTTCTAAAGGGACGCGGGGACATCGGTAGGAACTTCAAATTTTGTAAATGATAGCGTTTTAGAAAGTTTACATTGTTGCGGCTCGTAGCGTTTAATTTAGACGTAGCTCAATGTACAGTTGCCTTGTAGCGTTTAATGTAGACGTACTTCAATCTTGCATTTGCGATTTCTTGCACATGTCGGTACAATTTTGAACTTTAATTACCAGTAGAATTTTTTACTTTTAATTTTTCAACGGTACGACATTTCTTGAAGTGAGACAGAATCCATGGTACTCACATGAATTTCAGTTTCATATGACAATGTCGTATCGATTTATGATTTTTTGTCAAAATGCGCTGAAATCCATACATAAACCATCTTGGACTAGTTTCGCCTTCACACCATGTTATGTGTAGTACGTCTGATTCAAGTGCATTTCAATGTATGACAATGACATGTCAGTTTCGTCTTTAAAGTCACATAAATTGTCGAAGTGTGATAGAGTAAAAAATTATCGAAGTGTCACAGTGTTGGAATCCATTCTTAAATCACACCGAACAGACTGAGTGTCACGTCTTTTAATAAGTCTGTAGTACATAAATTATCGAAGTGCGATGGAACCCATAGTCACTGTACTTCAACCGTAATCTCGTTTGTCGTGTCATTCGTTTGTCGTGTGATTCGTTAAACTTTGTCGTGATTAGTATACATTTAATAGAGTTAAAGCAAAAATTATCGAAGTGCGACGGAATCCAYACTAGACTATTAGTACTTAAACCATCTGTGTGCTTGCCGTAAATGTCCCACTTCGATTGAGTTTCAATAAATTAAGGGAAGTCACAATGTCATCTAAAAGAGGTCCGACTCAATGCTGACWCAAAATTKAGCAAGGTGTAAAGAAATCGAGAGTTCAACAATTCATGTTCTAACCGTAACGGCTTTTAAGTTACAAAATTGATGGAAGTGCAATGGAATCCACACTTAATCCATCATGATCAGTAAGTGATTGCCTTGAATCTCAAGTTTAGATTCAATTTATAGCTTCTCAATTGCATTCTTCGGGTTCCTAAGTTCCATTCAGGTCCAAAATATAGCGATTTTAACATGAAATTAATAGCGTGCGAGTACCAATTTAAAATATAATGTCATATTTTAACGAATAACATGTTACGTCTGTTTCACATTCCGCCCGTGGAAGCAACCTCGCAAACGACTGGCGTCCACGATACGGCCTTCCGTGCAACGACGAATGGCGAACTTCGACGCAGGCAGAGAACCGGCGGCAGGTCAGGGCGGAGTAGGATCTTTCATGGTGGTGCGTCGACGGCGGTACGACCCATCGTTGTACAGCCATCTACCACCACACGAGCAGCCGCTGCCCCCATCGGACGTGGAAACGGAGACGGAGGAACTCACGGCGTTACCTTTGGGCTGTGGGTCGACGCAGATGTGGTCGCAGATGGTGGCAGCCGACAGGTCCTAGCGCAACGAGGGTGGCGAGCTTACGTTCCTCCTGCAGGAAGGCTTGGAAGACGACGACGACGGGCATGTCGATCTAAGGTTCGTCTTGTCGTCCTGCGGTGCGACGGCAGCGACCCGTACGTTCATCATCAACCCCGAGCCTTCGCCACGTTTCCTTCAACGTGCAGGAAGTGCGTAGACCCAACAGTCTATGAATCCCCCGTGGTCACGGTCCCCGCGGGCACGACCGCGGACCGCGGTCTCGGCCGCGGTCATGACCGTGGTCCGCGGTCATGAAAAAAAAGAAGAAAAAAAAAAGAATTCAGAAAACTCTGAAACAAATATATGTTATGCCCAAAACTAAACTGAACAACTTTTGCCTTGGGGTCATATCAAAATTCGTTACGAATTTGAGATTAAAATCAAACAAAATCCTTTATTTTTCTTACTAAAAGAATAATGTGAAGAACTTTTGCCTGAGGGATTTTTGTTTTTCATTTTTTTTTTTAATCGAAAAAGAAGTAAACAAACAAAACTAAAAATATACGCTTGTAGAGCGCACACAAACCTACAACCCCATATTTTTATTTTATTTTTTGGGCTATTATCCCATGAATTAAAAATGTCGGGGTTTTCCAACCGCACTTGGCCGCGAGCGCCGCCCGCTGCGGTCGGGATGCTGACCGCGTGCGGTCAAATGGCCGGTGGTCACGACCGCGGGTGATACATAGCCAGCACTGCACACTTGAAGCCGGTGTGTCCGTTAATGCCGATGTTCGGCCTTCACCTTCTAAGCAGCAGCATGGCAAGAGTGCGTGGTCCTGCGAACGGAGTAGAGACGGCTGCCCTGCCCTTGCCGGATTGGCAGCGGGCCACGTGCGCACCGACAGTGGTCGTTTGGATGTGCCGAACCCGAGCAGAACTACGCAGGTGGACTTGAGAGATGACGCCGCTTGCAGACCACTGGCGTGCCCACGACCTACCGTGGACAACATCATTCGTGGAGTGTCCAACATGCGGGCAAACAATGATGGCGGCGTTCAAAATGCGACATTCCGTTATGACGCTGACGATGGAGACACTGAGGACATGGAGGCAGTGGACGACGACGATGACGTCGAAATTCGGCCATTGGGGAAGACGATAGGTGGTCATGGTCGATCCGGTGGGCGGGGCGGCGAAGAAGGCGCATCCGACGATGGTGGGAAGTTGGCGACATATTGGTCCACAGTCGAGCAATTGCGGCTTGTGAGATGTAAGCGGGAGCAAGACATGCACCTGGCAGGGCTGGGTCACAATTACGGCCCGATGCGAACGAAGGAGTGGAAGTGGGACGATATTGCGAAACGGACGGCCAACATGGGGATGCCGAAAGAAGCCGATGAGTGTTCCAAGAAGTGGGACAATCTGTTTCGGAACTAGAAGAAGATACAGAGATTTCAGGGGAAGCGCGGCGAGGCGTATTTCTTTAGGTTGTCGAACGAAGAGCGGAAGGAGCACAATTTCAAGTTCAGGATGGAGAGGGTATTTTACAATGACATCCATGCAAGCATGCTCGGGCAGCTTGGCAACCACACCATTTTCCCTCCCAACATCGCCGACACTTGTAGTCCGGAAGCGGTGCATTTGCCGAGGCGAGGACCGGGAGGTGGGGGTCTGTGGGAAGTGAAGTCGGCGGTGATGGCGGCTCGGACGACCGTTCTTCGTCCAGGGACTCTGATCAAGGCGCAGGTAGCGGGGCCGGAGGCGGAAAGCGGAAGAATGCACGTCAGCAGAATTTCGTTGATCTCGGCTCAGGGCAATTCGCCCGTTTTTGTTTTCGGAGTCTTGGCTTGGTTTCCGCCCACACCCGTTTTGCGACTGATCTCGATTTCTTGTGTTGCGTGTTTGGTCGAATGAATGGATGAATGAATGTCATGTCAGATTGCGTGTCATTTTGCCTGATCTTTGCCTTTGCTTGTCGTTTTGATACACTCATGAGCATAGTAGGAATTTTGTGTAGTCATCAATACTGTTTCCATTGTTGTTTATTTCCTTTTGAGCTATTGTTGTTGCTGCATCTTGCATGCTCAGGAACGATTGCGTACGGGATCACGGAGTGATTAGATGATTGGGTAGTGGTTTGTCTAGAAATAAGCGAATACATCGTATGAATGCGTGTAAGCGCGATCTAATCTACGCAGCCTACACGTATCCACCCGTGCCGCTTCGTAGCCATTGGCGAGCTTGACGCCTTCGATAGCGAGTAGGCGGGAAGATCCCTTCCCCCCCGCACCTAAACGGAAAGGAGTTCTGATACCACATCAGGGAATTCCCCTTGCCGGTTAAACGCATGCGGAAGAATCCCATCACAACGCAATGAGAAGATAACGTACTCAAGGGACTCGGATTCGTCGTGGGATCCGGAGTATTTCGACCCCTGTGTGAGGGAGTGTCTCAGACAGAGACGCCCGGAATTCCCCTCCCTAACCGAGAATCGATTGTGCCCCATGGAGTTTCACTGTGCCACCACCAGCGATCCGAGGTGCCCCGATTTTCCCACTTCAGACAACACCCATTACTTCATATCCCCCGGCTTTATTGTTATCGCCACCAACTTCCCTCCCTTCCGTCTTCTCCTCGCGCATCATCAACTCACAGTGGTCCTCTGGAATTCCATCGCCCCGTACTGGCCCCGCATGCCTTGCGAAAATTATCGGAGACGCGGCAACCGACGAGCCCCTGGAATGCTGGAACTAGAGGGCCTAACCGAACCACGAGGCGACAGACGCCACGTGCGGGCACCCAAAGGACTGACTCATCAGGAACCCAGCATTCCCGGGCGGGCCCCTCCCCGAACAGCCACCGCCAAAACGGACGGACCAGATGGCCTTGAATGCACCGCGCATGCCATTTGCCTTACGCTGCCTGACATAGAACGCCCGCAGACCGGAAGTAACTCGCCCTAAGCCTCATTGCACCAGTGCCCCTAGAACCTTGCCACAAAAGATCTCAGTTCTCACCTGGGACTCCACCCCCACTTTCCAAAAATCCTTGGCACACCCCTTTTTGCACTTCCCACATCCCACTCCGATCAGGAAGTCGCGTTGGGTGTGAGGTTGGTATCGGAGCTCGACACGTGGCCGGGTTACAGGACTAATAGCACAATAATTAAGCGATCTGGCTAACCGAGGGCGACCTCGACCCCGGAACGCGCATAGACGCGACCCCGTCGTCACTAGAAGCAGATCGACTAATCGACGGGCGGCCAACATGAACGTTAATCCACAGAATCCGAATCCGCAGCAGAACCCCAATCAGCAACAAAATCCCAATCAACCCACACCGTGAGCACGGGCTCCTATGACGCCACCTGATCTCTATCTATTTGATCCTGCGCATCATCTTGTTGGAGCATGGCTAGCCACGCTCTGAGCTCAACAGTATGATGATAACGAGGCTGAGGTGAACATTCCTGCTCCATTAGGAGGAGATGCTCATCATTGGTTTAGTACTTATGTATGGGTGGATCTTCCGACCTTCGAACCAGATTTTCTGAATCGGTTCGATTATATCCACCCGGAACAAACACTCTTCATGATTAAGGACCAAGTTCAAAAACCCCTCGAGTCTATCACATAATATCGCAACCGGTTTTACCGAATGTTTGTAAGGACGGAGCGAGGTGAGCAAGTAGGAAGAGATTTGTTTATCGATGGACTCCAGCCGAACGATAAGGGCGGAACTGCGAAAACAGTTATCCCCCATCAATCATACGCTGCAACAGATCATGACTGCTGCAGAAGATATGGAACGAAAGTTCACGACGAGTTTCCTAGAAGGTGAAGACTATCCTAAGGAAGGAGACTCGTCCGCACTTGCGAGGGCAAAGGCTGAGCTAGCCGCGTTGCAAAACAAGTTCGAAAACATGGGGTTCATGTCTGGTCCTGTTACCTTTCTGGAACAGATATCCCCTAAACGACCGGCACCGAGTGTGATTACGGGCATGCCCGTCCCTGTGATGCCAGCACCTGTAATGATGGCACCCCCGTCACCAATCGAGAACCCCGTACGGTCGAATGAATCGATCGCCATTTTGGAGCTGACCAAAACACTAATTAGCCTAATCCAAGAAAGCAAAAAGGAACAGCGAGAGCATAATGCTCGGCTGGAGGCTATGATGAGACATATGCGGCCCATCGCCGTACGCGCCGCCCCCATCCAACAAGGACTGGCCCCGACACCTGTTTTCGGAGGGGCCGCGGACAATCTGAATGTCTGTTACGCATGCCATCAACCGGGGCATCTAGCTCGAGATTGCCCCCATCGACCCCCACAACCACGGGCGGGGTCGCACCAATGGCAGCGCCCCCCATCGCTAACGAACCTAGACGGGTAGGAGCACGGATGGAAGAATGGAAGGCGGAGGAAGTACGTTACCTACCATGGAGGAGGCTGTTGAGCTCATTCCGTTGGATCAATATGTATCCCTTGGGTATCTGGGGCTTGGAATGATTGGAACAATCAGACCCGCGTCGGAACAGAAAGAAGTGGCGGCCTTCTCCAGGAGAGATGGAGTCCGGAGGACCCACCTTCGTCACTGGCGAAATCGATGTTCTAAACATTGTCCGAGCATTGGATCATTGGATTCCTCTTCCGATCGGTCATCTGCTTTCGATATCAGAACAAGCTAATGAACGTATGCTGCAGTACTGCAAAGCAAATTGGAAGTGATTTGCCCTTGCCAGAACGGCCAATACGAAAACGAAAGGACCAATGCCAGACGAAAATGTCGCAGGAGCTTCTGATCCCATACACATAGGGCTAATTCAGAAGGATGATCATTTTCTGCAGATTAAACCTATCCTATGGAAATCCGCGGAATGTGACACTGAGATGTGGGGAATTCCATACAATGCCATCATCGATTCGGGAGCCATTGTTTTGGCTATTTCGCTACAGGTAGTTGAAAGAGCGGGAAGAACGAACGACTTAATTATGCTATCAGAAAGAGATCAGCTCGTTTCCGCAGACGAAGAAAAGATTAAAAACAGTGGGACGGATGACCAATGTTGCATTTCGATTGGGGAAGGTGCATGCTTTGGGAGATGTCGTAGTATTAGATGTCAATACTTACGACGTTCTTTTCGGCCTTCCCGCCCTGGTAGCACTGTGAGCCAATCTGGACTTCGAAAGACGGTCGATTATCCTCCGAAATACGGGAGGGAAACCTTATGTTGAGCCGATGAGACTGACTCTTCATACTACAGCTAACATAGCTCCCCGAGTCTCTCCCGCGATGACAGGTATCCTTCGCATGATTACTTGGGACAACGGGCAGACATCCAAGGACATAGACAACAGCGATGATGATGATGATCCCGTAGTCCTGGAGATGGCACAAGAACGTATCCATTACCCCGTACAACGGTTAGATGATAAAGCATTGACCAGGACTAACCAAGACTTACAAAGAACACAGGCTATGATTATGGGAGAACCTCTCGTACAGATTTCAAGGATGGTCGATTCTTTGGAACCCCCTTGAACCCTGTACGAAGGGATCTCCCCTCTTCACGCCCGATATAACGATAAAAAGCACTACTGCCATATCACGGATCTCCAAAAGTCTCTGTTGACACCTACAAACTAGATTCGATTGTTACGCTTAGGGGCGGAGATCACCTCTTTGGAACCCCCTGAGCGGCTCGAGAATGGACTCGGGATTAAGATCGCCACGAAACTTGTGTCATGGCAAGACATTCGAGACGGGGTGACACCTGAGGAACACGTGGCCATCCGAGAACAAGATGCACAAATGATGGCCACGGTGTTCTCCTGGCGATCGGATAACTCATTCATCTCCGCGCCCTCGCTAGAAAATACCAAGTGGGTAGGTACGAAACACATCGATGTACGGATATGGGAGGAGTCATACGAGTTGCACGTACCTCGATACGTACCGGACGAAATCCACCACCTAATCGTAGACATCCTGAAAGAATACAAAGGAGCGATTGCCTGGAGGTGCCTGGTCTCAAGCTAGGTCCATGTACAACCAGGGGTTCCAGCGTTTGTAAAACGTTGGACCCTCAGGAACAACAAATTTTGACGAGTTTTCGGCCAAAAAACTCAGTTTAAATTTCGTTCAAAAAATAAAAAATGTCCATTTTGACGAAATGGCAGTTCTTTGCTTGTCGTTTTGATACACTCATGAGCATAGTAGGAATTTTGCGTAGTCATCAATACTGTTTCCATTGCTGTTTATCCCCTTTTGAGCTATTGTTGTTGCTGCATCTTGCATGCTCAGGAACAATTGCGTACGGGATCACGAAGTGATTAGATGATAGGGTAGTGGTTTGTCTAGAAATAAGCGAATACCTCGCGGGGATGCGTGTAAGAGCGATCTGATCTGTGCAGCCGACACGTATCCACACGCGCCGCTGCGTAGCCATTGGCGAGCTTGGCGCCTGCGATAGTGGGTAGGCAGGAAGATCCCTTCCCCCAGGCACCTAGACGGAAAGGAGTTCCGATACCACATCAGGGAATTCCCCTTGCCGGTTAAACGCGTGCGGAAGAATCCCATCACACCGCGATGAGAAGATGACGTGCTCAAGGGATTTGGATTCGTCGTGGGATCCGGAGTATTTCGACCCCTGGGTGAGGGAATGTCTCAGACAGAGACGCCCGGAATTCCCCTGCCTAACCGAGAATCGATTGTGCCCCAGGGAGTTTCACTGTGCCACCACCAGCGATATGAGGTGCCCCGATTTTCCCACTTCGGACGACACCCATTACTTCATATCCCCCGGCTTCGTTGTTATCGCCACCAACTTCCCTCCCTTCCGTCTTCTCCTCCTGTATCATCAACTCACAGTGGTCCCGTGGAATTCCATCGCCCCGCACTGGCCCCGCATGCCTTGCGAAAATTGTCGGAGACGAGGCAACCGAGGAGCCCGTGGAACTAGAGGGCCTAACAGAACCATGAGGCGACAGACGCCACGTGCCGGCACCCAAAGGACTGACTCATCGGGAACCCAGCTATCCCGGGTGGGCCCCTCCCCGAACAGCCACCGCCAAAACGGACGGACCAGGGGACCTTGAATGCACCGCGCATGCCATCTGCCTTATGCTGTCCGACATAGAACGCCCGCAGACCGGAAGTAACTCGCCCTAAGCCTCATTGCACCCGTGCCCCTAAAACCTTGTCACAGGAGATCTCAGTTCTGACCTGGAACTCCACCCCCACTTTCCAAAAAATCCTTGGCACACCCCTTTTCGCACTTCCAGGCCCACATCCCACTCCGATCAGGAAGTCGCACGGGGCGTGAGGTTGGGCGTCACAATATCGTGGCAGTCCTATGGTGGGGAGGGTTGCCATGTAGGGAAACCAATGTCGAATCAAGAGGTGTGTCCTACTCTCAATGTATGTGGACCCATTTCGGGGTGGTGGGTTATCAGAGGTAGGCTGGGGGTACGACGGTCGAGGTCTCCACCATTACCACTGGTTGATTCTCCCTAGCGAACAGACATAAGCAAGGCTCATCAGTAGCAGAAAGCAACCACACACATCCACATAGACTATGATATCACATTAGCTCACATAACAACCAGCATACTCAACAACTAACAGTAGACATATATGATCCGAGTTGTGCTAGGTTAGTGCTTAGAGGGGCTCATAGGTTAAGAATTTGGTTAGTTGACCATTAGTCACTGCCTATGACTGCCCTCACTACTCACGGGACTAGTTGAGAACTATGTGCCTAGCTCATGAGGTTCCCGTATAACGAGGCTTGTACGCTAGTGCCTCAACCGGGGCTGAATGGGGGAGCTCATTCAGTGTCGGTGCCCGCGTCCGCTGTCTGGTCAGGTTGCTCCAGTAGAGAGTGATGTTCCTCGCATGAGGTAAGATAGAAATGGAGTGGGGGTGCGCGAGGAGATATATCAAGGGGAGTGGTGGGATGGGAGTCTTGTGAGTTAAAAAAAAAAAAAAAAAAAAAAAAAGAATGACACACGGCTGGACACACAATCGCTTGGGATGACGCAGGTTAGCTATTACAGACACTGCCTGCGGACCACCCAAGGGTTGTTCATGGTGTTGTATGTTGGTTCTGGGTTTCACATGGGTTGCTTGGGGGTGTTGGTCTTGGGTGTTCTGTTGATCTCTCCAGTCTAGCAAATCACACGTTTGGGCCATTTCCATCGGTCGTTCACATGGTACAGTCATTCGATCATATGTTACAAGGTCACGGGTTCGAGCTTGGTTCGGACCTTCGAGGGGTCCCTGTCCAGATTACCCCGTTCTGTCTCTTCGATATACAGAGTATTCATAGCCTTCGGACATAATATAGAATCTTATATCGCCTATGGGCTATATATACACACATAGCCTTAGCCTTCGGACATAACATAGAACTATATATCGCCTATCGGCTGCATACACGCCCTCGGACATAACATTGAACTACACATCGCCTACCGGCTACATACACAAAGTTTCCACACATCATATACAGATAGCCTTCGGACGTAACATAGAACTATATATCGCCTACGGGCTACGTACACATATATATAGCCTTCCGACATAACATACAACAACACATCGCCTATGGGCTACATACACAAGGCTGGGGGGGTCTAGTCACTGGATGAGGGTTTAGTATCTGCAGTAGGTTCAAGTTGGTTGGATAGGTTGTCATTGGGTGCAGTTCCTACTGACATCCGGATAGAACTGCCTGGTGGCCATATATTGGGACCTATGGTAGATTGTCTGGGTCTGGCGTCTGGTGTTCCCGTTCAACAAGGTTCGTCCGATTCCGCTTCCACCAAGGCTAGGCAGCTTATCAGCCCTGGTGCCTATCACTGCTGTTCGGTCCAAGTTGCCTACCCAATGGTAAGGCAATGGTCCTGAGTGCTGGTCACGCTGAGGTAGGATAGTGGGATAGGAGGTGCGCTAGGAGTATTGACGTGAGGATGGGATGGGAGGTGGTCTCATATTCCTGTACACCCGTGGCTCACAGCTCCAAGTGATCACTGTGTACTCAGTGACTAGCCTCTTTTTTTTTTCTTTTTTCTTTTTTTAATAATAACCGGGCCCGGTGCCCAAGGCTGATATTACCAATAATAAGATTGAGGCCGGGGTCCTCACATTCTGGCCGGAGTGATCGAACCGAAACTACTGAGAATCGGCTCAGCATCCCTCAAATGGATATGATGATGACCATGATGATAATGATGCTAATGAGAATGATGATTCAAATATATGAAAAAATATCGAAGATTATGCTATACGAGTTATTCTGGCCTCCTACTCCTAGTACAACTCTTGGCCCTTTCTGTACCAGGACACTGTACCTCAGAAACAAAACCAACCTAACCAACATCAACCATAGTTGATCTCTTCTCGCCTCTTTGAAGCCCCCCCCGGCTCACCACTGGAGTGCCTTCCACCCTCAGCAAGCCCCAGATCTCTCTACAAGGCCTCACACTCCTGCCATTTACAGGTTACAGGGCAACGCCCCAGCTCCGGCCAACGCCGTTCTGGCATCGGTAAACCAAGGGCACAGAACAGAGCAACTCAGTAGATATCAGTCCAGGTTCAATCATCTCTGAAGTCCTATATCCCGGATGTGGAAGAATGCTAGATGCTGCCAAAATTTCAGAACACCAAAAAGCTTAATATAACAATAATCAGATGATGATACTGGTGATGTGATGACGATGGTGATGATGATGATGATGATGATGATGATGATGATGAGTATGCTGATTATGATTTATTTATTTTTTTAATGATGAAAATAATGATGATGATGATGATTAGTATGTAAAATTATAGAAGACTATGCTATATCAGCAATTCTAGCCTCCTCATCCTATAACAACTCCTAACCCTCCCTGTACCAGGACATTACATCTCAAAGACAATGCCATCCTAACCAATGTCAACCATAGTTGACCTGCTCTCGCCACCTAGACTATCCCTGGACCCATAGGTTGTCAAGGCAGCCCCCCCCAGTTCGCCACTGAATTGCTTTCCTCCCTCAGCAAAACCCAGATCTCTCTACAAGGCCTCACACTCCTGCAATTTGCAGATTACAGGGCAACACCCCAGCTCCGGCCAGCGTCGTTCTGGCATCGGCAAACCAGAGGCATAGAACAGAGCAACTCTGTGGAAATCAGTCCAGATTCGACCATCTCTGAAATGCTATATCCTGAATGAGGAAGAAGGTCAGATGCCGCCAAGAATTACCGAACACCAAAAAGCTTGATATAGCATCAATGAAGACTGTGGACTTCTTTCTTTTTGGTTGTGAATAAAGATACATTAATTTAAACTTTGAAAGTCTCCTCCCCTCCCTCCTCTACTCATTACCCCTCTGTCCCTTTGTTGCCTCCGCCGAAAACAGTCCTCCAATGTAGGACCTCCTTTTCAGCCCCAACTTGGAACAACCCCTCTCTTCCTCGCTATAATCCAAGAGACATTCAGCTCCCACCAGAAGAATGCCCCTGCAGACCGCTTACCCCATTCTGCCCCCACTGAGGCAATCCACCCCAACCCCAGAATAGAGCAACCCTCAACTTCTGCACACACCCTCTTCAGAGTGCCACCTCCCTCCTTGTGACACCCCTGCAGAGTACTGCTCTCCCCACCTTTCCACCTGTACCACGAACTTCGAAACAACCGTCATCATCCATCCAGGGAGGAAAGTGAACTCCCATATGATTGAAACATAACTTAGCAAGATCACCAACGAACTTACTACTGAAACGATTCTTTTTTTTTTGAGTTGAAGATAATTAGTTAATAATGCAATAGGATTATGAAAATCTCATTCATAGAGAATTATGAAATATGAAGAAGTAAACAAGGAAAAATTAATCTAAAATGAATTAGAACTTTGGTATTCAAAAATACCATATCGAAACGTACATTAATAAGAAATCTAGGTATTTAAAAAATACCTTCCCGATTAATGAAATAGGAAATAAGATGCTGATGTTCATGATGATGATGATGATGATGACGCACCAATGATGATGATGCTCATAATGATGATGATGATGATGATGATGATGATGACGCACCAATGATGATGATGATCATAATGATGATGATGATGATGATGATGATGATGACGCACCAATGATGATGATGCTCATAATGGTGATGATGATGATGATGATGATGACGCACCAATGAAGATGCTCATAACGATGATGATGATGTCCGTAGTGCTGCTGCTGCTGATGATGATGATGATGATGATGATGTTGATGATGATGATAATGACGATGATGCTGATGATGATAATGATGACGGTGAGATGATGAGGATGACGCTGATGATGATGATGATGATGATGATGATGATAATGATGATGATGGCAACCGCTGATGATGATGATGATGATGATGATGATGATGATGATGATGATGATGACGACGATGATAAAACCGAAGCTGGTGATGAAGATGCTACGAGCTGATGATAAAGCTGTCGCTGACGAACATGCTGATGAAGAAGCCCACTTACTAACTGATGTTGTCCCGATAAGATGACGCAGAACCTTTCTTGAAACAAACGCACTGGATACGAGCTGAGAACCTGAATATCACTTCCCTCCTTATCTCCCTCCATTCGTCCTCCCATCTCATGGGACACACTGTACTCTCCTCCCTCTTCCTGCAAGCCGACCTCCTCCACCAAATTATGCAAGATGAAGAGTACCAATGATTCTTCCTGAAGCAAGCCTCGTAAGAAAAACTTGCTATAAAGGGGTAACTAGGGCGCAATCACGAAAGCAGTTTGTAAATGCATTTCGAACTGCCTCTTTGGAGTCCAGTACCGTCCCATGTTTCAACTGCAGTTGAAACTCTTGACATGCACAAAAGTCACAAGGCCAAGTTTGCAACTGCACTCCAGTCCGGCATGTGGCTTTTTTTTTTTTTTTTTTTTCCCCATCTCGGCCGTGGCCAAGGTATCGCGGCCATGGCCCAGCCACGCGACGAGATGCTCTCTCTCTTTCTTTTTTTTTTCTGTTTTGAACCTCGGATGTGGCCGAGGCATTGCGGCGTTGGCCACCACGCGACGGGGCTGAGACTGAGGGGGAAAAAAAGAAAAAAAAAAAAAGAAGGAGGGCCTCGCTCCACTATTGTTGACATGCACAAAAGACAAAAATCAGGGCGCTGTATCTTTCCATGTTCTAGCCGAAGATTCACTCTCGTTTTGCACATTTCGAGAGTAGTGGAGCGAGGGGGGCTCCACTACTCTCGAAATGTGTAAAACGAGAGTGAATCTTCCACTGGAACATGAAAAGATGCACCTCCTGGAGGCCCCAAGGATGACACGCATAGGTCCGGAACTCTGAGAAGAAAAAACAAAAGAGAAAAATAAAAGAAAAGAAACTGGGTCGTTGTCAGCACGTGTATCCCCTAGGGCCTCTGCGTTGTTGTCAGCCCGTGTATCTATCTCGTTGGGCCCCTGTATCCCCGTTGCACAAAAGACAAAAATCATGCCACTGTATCTTTCCATGTTCTAGAGAAGATGCACTGTTTATTCCATGTTCTAGAGAAGATTCACTCTCGTTTTGCACATTTCCAGATCAGTCGTGGAAACTGAGAGTGAATCATTCCCTAGAACATGGAAAGATACAGCGCCACAATCTTTTCTTTTTTCTTCTCTTTTCTTCTTTTTTTTTTGGGAGAACAGCATGCCCCTCCGACGTGGATGACTAGACTGCAGTTACAAACTCTGCCCTGTGAAAGCCACACGACAAAGGAGTTTGGCCTGCAGTGTAAACTTCAGAGGGGACTGGACTCCAAAACGGAAGTCTGAAATGTATTTTCAAACTCTAACCCTGACCGCGCCCTAGTTTTCTTAAAAAAAAAGGTTTTCAGATTTTAATGCTTTTCAGTCATGGTGTCGTGAATTTTGCTCCAAAGCGAGGAAAATCGTGAATGTATCCAACCGAGCTTTAGGGTTGGGTGGGAATGTGTTGTATTCGAGGGATGCCTGTTTTTTTTTTTTTTTTTTTTTTTTTTAAGGCCCTTGTGCAAGGCCTCTATCCTGGTGCCTGAAGTGGATTTAGAATGCAAAACATGACTGCGCCCTAGTTACCCCCCCCCAAAAAAGGGAAGGACAGGACCGGTACCTGCTCCCGCCCCAGCCCTCGGGAAAACAACCTGTAGCGGTATCCGTACCTCCCATTAATGGTAATTGTTGTACCCAGCCCTCGGGAAAACAACCTGTCTGTAGCGGTATCCGTACGGTAACCTCCCATTAATGGTAATTGTTGAACTTGCAGGCTGTGAGAAGCATGCCTTCTTGTTTTTTTTGCAGTTTCTAACTGCCCACTGCCGGGACCTGCAGCGCCCTGTTATTCCTGTGACTTCGGAAGGGTGCACCGATCACAGGTGCAGTTGTCTCTTTGGGAAAAAAAAAAGGGGAAACTACGCGGGAGTCACAAAAATGAGTTATAATGCCACTACGGCCCAAGATACAGTTTCGACTTGCAGTTCGCGCAATGTATACAACCCAGCTTTCTGGTCAGGTAGGGTGCCCAAAGTGGAATTGCAAACTGTATCTTGCCCCATAGTGCAATTATAACTCGTTTTTGTGACTCTACTGAAGTTACCCCCCCAAAAAAAGAAGGCTCAGGTGGTAGAACTTGGTGCACCCATGGACTTTTGGAGTACTGGTGCGGGATGCTCTTAGCCATTAACCCTGAGATGAGGTGGGACGGTACCTGCGCTCTTGAGCTGAGATGCCAACTGCCCTACCTTGAGCGTGTACAACAATTAAAAAAAATAATATTAATAATAAAAAGAAATGACCTGCCGACCTGGAGCCTTAGGTTACTGACACCATTTTTTTTTATTTTTATTTTTTTTTGGGGGGGGACAATTTGCTCCAATCTATTCGTGGGGACTGGAAACCGGGTCAAGCGTCCCACATGAATTATTACACAACATATGAGGTGCGGGGGCCATTACCCCGGCTTCGACTAAGAATCTTTTTTTTGATGAAGAACTGAAAAACTAGGTTGTTTTACCGGACGTCCGGGACCCCCCTGACCGTCCGGGATGTCCGACCAGACGTCTGGTCGGACGTCGGATCGGACAAGGGTTGTTCGACCTAGCGCAAAAAAAAAAAAAAATCATTTCGGACAACCCTCCTATCCCCACCAAAACCCCTCGTACCCCCCCCTCCCACCCCAAATAGCACCCTATCACCAAATGCTCAGAAAATTCTGAATTTTTTTATGGGGGATCTCTATGGCATGYGCAACACTTCCATTTTTTTTTTATTATTATTTTTTTTTTAATGTCAAAAAGTGGTTGTCCGGGATCCCGGACAACCCCCCTACCGGACGGTTGGGGGAGACGTCCGGCCGAGATGTCCGGCCGAGACGTTCGGCCAACTGGTAACCTAGCTGAAAAATTGAATACTATGCTATATCAACCATTCCAGCTTCCTAAAAATAGAGCAACTCCTAGCCCTCCCTATACCTGGACATTACTACTCAAAGACAGTACTGACCAGACCAACATCATCCATAGCTGACCTCTTCTCACCACCAAGACTATCCCCGACCCCATAGGGTGTCACGGCAGTCCCCCACAATTCGCCACTGGCTTACCTTCCTCCCTCGGCAAACCCCATATCTCTCTACAAGGCCTCACGCTCCTGCCGTTGCAGGTTACAGGGTAACACCCCAGCTCCGGCCAGCGTCGTTCTGGCATCGGTAAATTGAGGGCACAGAACAGAGCAACGCTGCCGATGTCAGTCCAGGTGCAACCATCTCTGAAATCGAATATCCTAATAAAGAAGAAGACCGGATGCTGCTCTAGCTTTCAGAACCCCGAAAGGCTTAATATACCATAATTTGTCCAAGAAGCTTTCAAAAGTCACCGCGCAGAGAAACTTCCCCCTGCCCGCAAACCATGTTCCATGCTGCCACCGTCGAGGAAAACCACCTCGGTCCCAACCTGGAACAGACCCCCTCATTCCCCCCCATCCGCAAAGGCATCCCATTCCCTCCTCGAGGATACCTTCGCCCTCCCCTTGTCCCTATCTGTCCCCGCCGGGGTTGAAGGCGACCAACTCTCCCACCCCGGCCCCAGACAAGGACAAACCACAAATCTGCCCCACTCCCGACAGGGAAGCCATTTCCCACCTTACAGCGCCCCTTTAAAGTAAGGCTCCCCAATACCAACCCCCCACCCTTCCCCCAAAAATCTGAACCGTGACCGCAGAAGCCCTATCCCGACTGAAGCACACCTATCAGATGAAGCGGCCAATTAACCTAGAGAAAAATCTCATGAGGGCAGTGAATAGTTGAGTAAGATTTTTGATGGAGATCCCAGGATGGAAACACTCAAGAGAATGAACATGAAAAAAGGAAAATCATGATGAAAGTGCCGGAAAAAAATACTAATTGCTGACAAGAACAGTACCCTAAGACAAAGGGTTATCAAGAGAGTATTGGCGAGCGAACTCACCTGCAGATGATATCGGTAATGACCCCCTAGTGCGAGATTGGATTAATGATGATTTTTATAAGGATGATAGTAATGATGATGATAATGATATCGATGATACCGCCACAGATGATGGTAATGACGGTGATGGTATTGATGACTTGTGATTGGATGGGTGACCGAAAACAATACCCTAAGACTGGAGATTTTAAGGATGATATTGGCGAGGAGACTCGCCTGCAGATGATATCGGTGACATCCCACTAAATTCACGAATGAGGATTGCAGTTAAGGGAAATATTTTATAAGGATGATGGTGATGAGAATGATAATGATGATGATGGTGATGCTACAGATGGTGATAATGATGAGCAACATTGCGATGATGACGCCGGTAATGACAAAGCCCACAAGGAGATGTAATGATGGTTAGAATGATGAGCAATTACCAATACTTGGACGACAAGCACCTTTTGCTGAAAGATAGCTACAACCTCTTGAAAATAACGACCTGTGCTTTGATGGTGACCTAATGGTGATGAAAAACTACTAATCACACCCTTTCCTCAAGTAATAATAACAAATAATATCCTAATGGTGACAACTAACGTCATGATGATGCTAGCAAACCTTGATGATGATGATGACAAGCATCAGCTTGATAACGAACAGCACCCCTGATAGCCTCGTTGTGATGGCGATAACTGTGCCTTGATTGTACTTGATGACACGTCCAAGTTGTGCCCCTGAAGACGGACAACACCCTAATGTCGAACAGTACCCCTGATAGGAAGCAGTAGGGTGATGTCGAATCGCGACCTGGTAGTGATGGTGATGGCAAAGATGATGGCGAGCAGTACCGCAATGGCAGGCCGTTACTGAAATCACTCACACTTCAGGGTAACTAGGGCTAACTTCACTGTGCTCCACAGACATCGACATAGCCAACGCCTCTCAGGCCAAATGCCACGTGCAGCAACGCAGCGGCAATGGAGTGAAACATGGAACTCCCAGAAACTGAACGCCA